TATACGTAAAGTGTTGGAGTATATCCATACTTATATTTAAGTGCACGTATCTATATATTCTTAACGCGATGTATTAAAAATCACCAAATTTAATGAAATGTGTACATATAAGTATTAGTTTGGGTAATATCTAAAAAACGCCAGCATTAATGCACAGAATTGTTCCCATCCAACTATTTTTATAAAACTCAACTAAATGTTACATTGGAAATAAACCAAAACACAATAAAACAAATGAAACTAAATATCCTTCTGTTGAATACAAAAAGTAAAAGAAACGTTATTTCTAGCCTCCAAGTATCTTTTTGAAGTCTCACAAGGCTACCACAGCAACTGGTTCATTGTAGAGTTTACATGAGCAAATCCAAAATGTTGATGAATTTTTCTGCTATAAGTAAAAGCATATTATATTCTTAAAAAGCGTTTAGTGTAAGAGTATATTAATTAATTACACCCACCTTCTTAATAAGAATTCCTGAACGATTCTAGAGCACTACAACACGATATTTTAATATAAAACTATGTAGCTAGCTGTTAGACTGCTACCTCTTTATTGTATCATACTTCCCAACCACCCCAAGCTAAACTTTAGAAAATATGCCCCTAGATGGCAGCACAAGACATCCGTATCATTAAATGTGTATAAAGGAATAGTTGTCAACTGTTACCAAACCAATGAAACCCCGCTGCTCACCCTTCCTAATCTCAGGGCCATGTTTTGTAATACATTATCACGGATTAGGGTGTATCACTGTCTCATTTTTCTTTGAAAAAGAAAAAAATATGTATTACAGTTGTATTCAATAATTCATTTCAAACAAGCCTTTTTTTTTCCTTACCAGTAAAACTTCCGAACACATAAATTTAAGATTAGTTAAAGACACCTTTGTTCGTATTCTCAGGTGGCGCTTTGAAAAGCTGATAGAATGATGTGTTACCTGAATTACGTGCCAGGGAACCTATTGGAAATTTCGGAAAGATTAATTGGTGAGGAAATATATAACCACCTATATGCTTTGCGGCTATGCGTTTTTATGTGTGATTGTGTCTATTTATATCGCCCATGAGAATTAGATGGAAAATAAAAAAGATAATAAATTTAGAATAGTGAACATATGACACACCATATTTTCAATTTAACTCAAAGCTCAATGGAAAAGAAACACGCTTTCCCCAGTAAACTGATCTTTGTATTAGCACTGTAAAAATAAAGGTGAGTTTACAAAAAACCTTGAATTAATAAACCAGAAATAAGTGGTTGCTTTAATCGTTTATAAAATTACATGAAATTCTGAATAATTTTCAATATAGTGCTCTGTCCAAAATTAATATTCGTTGGCTTGTAGTAAAAAAAAAAAAAAAGAAAAGCCAGTAACACTAAAATTAACAAGAGCTTTAATAAGTATATTCAAGTACTTATCTTGATTGTATTCTTATTAAGATGCTTGAATTAATAATTAAGTTGTACGTATTGCTAATCGGTAAAATCTTTACTTTGCTTATTTGAATGCATAACTTTGAACACAAGAAATTTTGAATAAGCCAAAATAACGATTATATATATATATATATATACATATACAGTAATTGAAATGAATATCGAAACATTGGTGAAACATCTATATCGCAGTGGATATATTTGTGTCTTTTTAACAGAGATGCGTAATTAGGTTTACAGATTTACAATAGTCTGAACTATAAATAACTGCATACAAGCATGTAACTTGATACATCAGTATTTGGTGTCTAAGCCTTCTGTTCTCTTTAGAGCAAGACATCTGGTCAACATGTTGTCATAGAATTACATCTGGTCAACACATTGTCATAGAATTATTTTTGGTCAACATGTTGTCATAGAGCTTATTCCTGAAGTGCATGGCATGTTCCTTCGAATACCCTATTTCACGTGAAATAATCCTACAGGTTGTCCGGTTGCCTCCTGGCCTCTTCTTTAACCACGTATGTCGAAATTCTTTGGATAATGCTCAAATATGAAGTCTGAGCAGGCCAAGACAGGAGTTGTAATGTTCCAACTGCCCATTTCCTCTCCTGATAAATATTTATTATGTTAATCATATGCTTAGTATTATTATCCTCATTTAATGAGGTGAGTTTCTAATAGAATGCCATAGTATATTGGGAATGGTCTGTACTTCTTTGCTGTCAGTATGTGTGTGGTTCATCAATTTTGGCTAACTGCAGATATTCACTCTATCTCTTCTTTATAGTTGTTGTTCTGGGGTAATTATATTGTCCCTATTTCATCTTCTTCTGAATATACTACCTTGGATTATTGTTCAACAACACGAACATGAGCCCTTTGCTTGATAAACAGCACCCTCTGCCAGGCGTGTTCACCCCACTATTTCATTTTCACCACCTATTTCAGTTTTGTATTTGTTTTCAAAGCAGATACATGTTTCACTGAGGCTGCACCGAACCAGATTTTTTTAACGTTCTCGGGGTGATTTAAACAACTGTACTTGAAGACAGGTTATTGAACACATCTCTACTGGAATGTCTCCTGATATTATGATAAAAAATTATGCGATTAATCTGACATTCTTATATTACGTTTGCAAAGTAAAAATACAAAAGAAAAGTCGCATGAGTTCTTGAGACTGGCAGTCTAGTTAATATATCGTTTATAGTCAAACACCCAGAAACTGTACTTAATTTATAGATTTTTTTAGTTTTTGCGCAAAGTTAACCAATAAGCAATCGGCGCTCTGTCCAATATGGAGAATCGAGCCCTGGATTGTAGCGTTGTAAGTCCGTAAACTTACTGCTTACCAACTGGGGGGGGGGGGGTAATTCATAGAAATATTCTTTGTTTCGTCAGGTTAGACTTGTTTATTTGTTTATTGCTAAGCAAAATGTTTACAATGATTATCTGTGCCCTGCCCACTACGGCCATAGAAACCCGATTTTTGGCATGAAAAGCCTTTAAACTTATTGCTGAGACAATAGGGGGCGTCAAGTAAGTCCTACTTTTTTTTGGGGGGGGGTACAGTATTACATCTGAATAATTTGAACATGACTTAAACACAAAATTAAATAATGATAATAAAATAAAAGCATAAAGAAATACTTTGGTAATATAAGCTTGCACGTTATCCACTGCTGAGCTGACAGTTATTCCTTGACAGTCACGTTAACGTGACTTAGATTCATCCATGTTTGGCACTCCAAAACATACACAAACTGGAGGGTCACTCAAAAGAGCTCATACCTCCGCCACACAGCGTTGATCATATTCGGCCCTCAAAAAATTCGAAAATATATCGGTATGTGTGTCTTTATGAACGGACACAGACCATTTTTTGTCAGCACAATGAGGAATAATATTCTAGATAAATCCACCAAGATTTATCAAAATACGATCATTTTTGATCTTGTTATAAAGCAAAAATATGTGAAAAATGGGTCCCCATGTTAACAGGTAGGGAATTTTTAGATTATCGAGACCTTACTGTAACCTTGACCCCCAAAATTAATCACTTCTAAGTTGGATCATAGTCTAAATGTATACCAACTTTCGTTCAAATCCATTCAGCTGTTTTTGAGAAATCTTGCTGCCAAACACACACACACAGGGGTAAAAAACTTAACTTTCGCCACCAAAGGTGGCGGAGATAAAAATACTTTGGTAAAAATATTGGAAACATTATCCAATGTTGAATTGACGGCTAGCCCTAATAGTCACGTTAACATGATTCATCCATACTTGGATACTACAAAACATAAAGAGATATGGGTAATATAAGCTTGCCCGTTATCAACTGCTGAGCTGACAGTTAGTTCTTAACAGTCACGTTAACGAGACTTAGATTAATTTATTTTTGATACTATTAGGTCGTCAAGAAATTAATGTCGAGTTTGGGCAAACTTTCATTAACCATTCCCCAAAAAACGTACATCGCGTATAATAGTCAAACGAACCGCCTAAACGTCACGTTAATGTAACCTATATAATGTGTAATGCTGTTTGAATATAAGAAGAGAAACAACGCCAAAAAGAACATCAAAGAAGTTTATGGAAATGTTTGGAACGTTGGACATATTTGTTTAATTTGTATTTGTCTTTTTACGGACAGACATGGTGATTCGATAAACCTGCATGAGAATCCATTTACTGGTTCGAAGCGCTCTTAAATGCATTATTTACATTTAGATCACTGGTTCATTCATGTTGAAACAAAACAGGTAGATTAAAAAAAAATGTAAGTAAAATTCGATATTTATTTTCTAAAATTTACTTTATTTCTTGAAATAAGAGTGGTTATGTCTTTAAAAATGATATATTTTACTAAAATTAAATCTATAAAACAAAGCAGACTCGTTACCAGTGTTCAACTAACACGATTTATTCAGAACAATCTTCTCTTCCAAAACTAAACCTCAAACATTTGTGTGTACTACAGTGGGTCATTCTTTTTCTTTTTTTTTCTTGAAGCAATGTATGGCAATTATTTTAAAATGTTTACTCATTGTATCAAGTGCAAAATGTTACGTATTGTTTTATTGGCTTTATGAAAATTCTGTTTTCTAATTGTAATTTTGAATTACTCGAATGTGTTTTCTAATTGTCAAGCGAAGAACTTGAATATAACCAGATTTCTGTTTAATTTCGTGAACCATTTCTACTAGTGATGACAGTGTTAAAATGGAATTCTTCAGCCTTGTTTTTATCATACACGAAAATCTGACTCTAACTGGCATCATGGCGTTCCAACGATGTACCAGTAGCGTAGCAAGTCAACAAGTCGATTTTATCAGAGGAATTTCACAGGAAGATAAAGAGGCCTATTCCCTCATGCGTACATTTGATGTCTCGCTGATAAAGTTGAAATCATGACTAATTACTTTTGTAGTTAGAGGAAAAAATGGTAAAGCCAAGTCGTAGCTGTGGTATCCACGTTTTAAACATATTTTAAAGTGAACGTTGTTGTTACCTTCTACCTTTGACATACATGTTTTACCAATTTCAAATGAGCCAC